AGGATGGGTTAGCCTGGTGGTGGGTTTTGAGGAGGGCACATTCTGCATGGAGCACAGGGTGTTATGCACAAACAATGAATCATGGAACACTATATCTAAAACTAATGATGTAATGTATGGGGATTAACATAAGAATAAAAAAAATACATTTTTATGTTTCATAATTATGTTTCCATCTTAAGTCAAACATGTTTATTATGCAATCTTTTTTTGTTTATGATGCAATCTTAAATCAAAAATATGGTACTCAATTTTCTATTAAGTAGAAAATGTTTCATGTTTTTGGTCAGCTTAATGTTTTTCTGTACCTCGTACTTTTCTGTTGTCATATGTTACCTTCACAATACAAAATTATTTTTAAAAAGCATATGAAAAGTGTCGAAATTCATTTGTTTTCAATAAAATGCAAATTAAAAATACAATGATTTCCACCTAACAGAACAGAAATTTTCTTCCTTTTTCTTTTTTTAAAGTTTTTATTTAAAATCCAGTTAGTTAGCATACAATGTAATATTAGTTTCAGGTGTATAATATACTAATTCAGGACTTTCATACATCACCCTGTGCTCATAATCCCCATCACCTATTTCACTCACCCATCCCCACTCACCTCCCCCACCTTGGTAACCATCAGTTTGTTCTCTATAGTTAAGAGAACAGCCTGGCAAATTTAAAATATCTCACAATAGCAAGCATAAGTAAGGTGTAAAACAATAGGACTCAGACGCTGCTGATAGGAGTATAAAATTGGAACTACTTTAGAAAAGAGTTTTGCCTTAGCTAATAAAGGTGAAAGTAAATATATGTTATAATACCTGGAAGAAATGCATGAATATATACACCAGAAATGTTCCCAGCAGCATTGCTATTAATAACATAAGTAGAAACAAACCAAATATCCAGAACAATAAAACTAAAATAACAAATTATTATATGGTTATATAATAGTGAATATAAGATGGCAATGAAAATAAAGTTAAGAAACAATGGCATTACTAACATAATGTTGACAAGATGCAACAGAATAGAAACAGTATGACTATTTATATAAAGATCCAAATGAGACAAGAATTAGTTATATTGATTAGGAATGCATATTTAGATGGTAAAACTCTACAGAAGTGCAAGGAAGTGATTACTATAAAAGTTAGGATAGTGTTCACATCCAAGAAAAAGAGGAGACTGTGTTGAACTTCTAGTGTGTTGGCAAGGTTCTATTTCTTCCCTGGGTGATAATTACAAGGTGTTTACTTTATAATATTTTAAATTGCACAATTTATGCTTTATGCAATTTTGGGTATGTGTGTTATATTTCACATTTTAAACAAAAAATTAGAGTACAATATAGATGAATGGCTATATAATCCTCTGCTGGGGAAGGCATAAGCATACTACTAAATGTAGAAATTATAGAGGCGCCTGGGTGGCTCAGTCGTTAAGCGTCTGCCTTCGGCTCAGGTCATGATTCCAGGTCCTGGGATCAAGCCCCACATCGGGCTCCCTGCTTGGCGGGAAGCATGTTTCTCCCTCTCCCACTCCCCCTGCTTGTGTTCCCTCTCTCGCTGTGTCTCTCTGTCAAATAAATAAATAAAATCTGTTTAAAAATAAATAAATAAATAAATGTAGAAATTATAAAAGAAGGAAAAAATTTTAAGCCCATGTTGTTTGAGGATGAACACATAGTTGGTGGGACTAAAGAATAAAAATGTGTGATTACTGTAGAAACCAAGGGAAAAACCTCTAGGGGAGAGAAGGAGAGAAGCAGTTATGATCAGAAAGTCACATGCAGAGGGATTCAGGGGTACAGGAAGTATCCTATTTCTTACCTTCAGTCATGGCAATATAGGTAGGCACTTTATAACTACTTTTTTTATGTTTTATACATTTTCAATATGTTTATCATATTTCACAATAAAAATAAACTAATTTAAAATATGTAAATTAAAAGACTCTTACCTTGATCCGTAAAACCAACTCTTGAATCCCTGTAGTCCGGGCTTTTTCTACATAAGATATCAGATCCATCATCTCTTCTGTTGTCTCAGGGACTTTTAATGCATGCTCTTTAATTGCTTCAAATTCGCTGCAAATACTGACATAATACTCTGCTTTACTATGGCTATGGTAATTAATGCCATGTCATACTCAATACATATGTGTTATTATGATTATTGTAAAATATGAACCGTGATAGCCTCAAAATATTAAATCACTAAGATGTTTTAAAACATTTAAGGACAACTTATCTGATATAACCCAGCGTACATCTCACATCTACAAAATCTACAAAATCGAGGTAACATTTTCATGTGGAAGTTATGGTATATTAAAATTTTTTTTCTGCAGATCTCTTTAACTCTCTTGAACACCCAGTTAAGTAAGCAGTGTGATACAGAGTGTACTTAGGAATGGCAAGCAGGCCAATATGAAAACAAAGAAGGGGAAATCACATGAAGCTGGAAAGGTGAGTAGGAATTAGATAGTGTAGGGCTTGATAGTTCAGTCTTGATTATCAAAAATTTAGGGGGGACGCATGAAAGTGGATAATGACAAAAAGACAGGAGATATTATGGGGGCACTTTCTTCTTGCTAGAGCAGAATCTAAGTCCCTTGGAGAGAGACATTACAGCAAAAGACAAGGAGGCAAACAAATTGAGAGCAAGGTGGCCCAAGCAGATGTTAAACCAAACTGTGAGCAAGCAAACTGCTCTTTAATGATTATTAATTTATTTAATAAATTGTACTCTACTTAGGGGCACACATTTCCTCCTTTTGATGTTATCTACCTCAAGTACAGAATTTAAATAGAAAAGAATTAAAGAATGAACTAGACAGAGGAATCTGTACAACTTTTCAGCAGCTCTTATGTCATGGGTTTATAGTAAGATAAAATTATTTTCTTGGAATAGAATTTTCCAGAAAAGTCACACATACTCCAAAAATAAATCCCAAAAAAAGTCATGTTAAACATAAATCACTTTTTGATTATGGCATTGCCATCGCTCTTACTCAATGGGATTGTTAGAAATGGATGCTTTGCCATCTTTGATATATTTTTGTATAGTAGTAGACTTTTCTACAAAGTATGCCTGACAATACTTGACTTTTGACAGCCATATATTTTTATTCATTTAAAAATATTTATTGATGTGATAGCTCCCTTAATTGGGCAACTGTTCTATGCCAAGCATTGTGCCAGATGCTTTACAAATGTTATCTGTGATGCTAACATTAGTCCTGCAAGGAGGGGATTAGTTGTACAGCTGGCACAGCAGGAAACTGAGGCTCAGAGAAATGAAATAACTTGCCTAGAGTCACAGAACTAGTTCATCACAGAGCCAGGATTCAAATCCAGGTCTTTCGGATTCCAAAGCACAGGATTTTCTCACATTGCTTCTGGGAAAATAAACATACTAGCTAACATTGCTCGAGTACCGTATTCCAAGCACTGTGCTTAGTGCTTTATATATTGGTTTTAATCTTTACAGAAGTTACAAACAGGCAACAAATAAGTTAAATGAGTTGGATGATGACTTGCTTGAGCACTGGGTGAACAAACAAAGGACACATTCCCTGCCTAAAATGAAAACTGATTCTCAGCTCCATTTACCACTGAAGGCCCAACATGGCACGGTCTTCCCACTTTTTCAAGAAAAGTAAAAGATCTGGATTGTGTGTGTGTGTGTGTGTGTGTGTAAAATCTTCTAATTCTGAAATGTTGATAGCCAATTCAAAATGTGTTTAAACAAAATAAAACACAGCATGAGACAAATAAAACTATCGGCATGACCTATTCAGATAGCAGGGCACTGGTTTGTGAATCTAACTTCATAGCCACTCTGCAAAGCAGGCATTGCTGTCTCTATTTTACAGATGACGAAAATAAGCTAGATGACACAACAAGTAAATATTGGGGTCAGGAACAATCCCAGATCTTCCCAATATCATTGAAAGTCTATAGTCTCTCCATTTTCATGCAACCTGTATTCAAACACTGGTTTATTTCAATTTCTTTTTTAAAAAAAATCCTGGGTTGCCTCAAAACAACCCTCAGACAGTATCAAACAAAAACCAGACCATCAGGACTACAAAGGAAAACTCCTTAGGAGGCAGCTATGAGGGGTGCCTGGGTGGCTTAGTCGGTTAAGCGTCTGCCTTCGGCTCAGGCCATGATCCCAGGGTCCTGGGATTGAGTCCTGCATCGGTCTCCCTGCTCAGCAGGGAGCCTGCTTCTCCCTCTGCCCCTCCCCACCACTCATGCTCTCTCTCTCTCATTCTCTCTCCCTCTCTCTCATAAAAATAAATAAAATCTTTTTTAAAAAGGAGGGAGCTATGAAGAGAAGTTGTAAGTACTTATATTAAAAATTTTAAGTTAGTTTATTTATTTATTTATTTTAACTAATCTCTACACCCAATGTGGGGATCGAACTCACAACCCCGAGATGAAGAGTCGCATGCTCTTCCAACTGAGCCAGCCAGATGCCCCTCATATTTTAACAAGAGTTCTTATTAGCAAAATATTTCTTTTAGCCCTATAATTCTGAGTTTAGCAATTACTTCTACTTACCTTTCATTTTCTTTTCTATGTTTTGAAGCTATGTTGTTTAATAATATGTTTGCAAAGGTTTTTGCTTTGTTTGTTAGGCCTATCTTCAAATCTTCACAATCCAAACGCACCATAGGGTAATGAACCCACTGAGGCAAAAGCATTATTTCTGAGGCAAGACTGAAAAATCTTTCTATAAACTTAAAATTTAAAAAAAAGGATTTAAAATTCAGATCCAAGTATATTACTTGCACAGCTAAAAACCTTTAAAACAAAGTACAAACTCTTGAGCAAAGATACCCTAAAATTGTCCCACATGGCTCCCACTTACATTTCCAACTTCATATTCTAAACCAGCCATGTACTGCATTCCTATGTTACCTGTTCTACAGCTGTTTTGGTTCATTTGATAGTCTCTGAACACCGCTAAACCCTTTTGGTCTTTGTTCATGTTACAGTCCCTCTCTTCTCCACCTATAAACATCTACTTCAAAGCCTAGTTCATTTTTCACTTCTTCAAGAAACCTTCACCAATCTTCCAAAGCAGAAACAATCATTCCCTCTTCTTTGCTTCCACAACACTTTGTTCACATTTCCATTCCAGTACTTACGTCCACATGTCATAGTGGTTACTCCTATGTCTGGCTTGCAGGCCAAATATAAGCTCCTCAGGACAATGTGTATGTATTATTTATCTTTATGTCACCAAAATCTTGCTAGATGTCTGAATGTGATTGTTGAAGCAATGAATGAGTAAATGAATCACTAAAGACATTGTTTAGTGAACCTATAAGCTTATTAAAATGATATTCTGAATAATAAATTCTATTAACTTTAGTTGAAACATTTACTTTCCAGAAAAAAAAAACCCTAATTAAAAAAAAGAAAGTCAAAGGCCTTAATGAAAAACAGAATTACCACTTACCTCTGTGTATTCATCAAAAGTATGATCTTCTGCCTGAAAAGTCTCTATCATCTCATCTGCAGTCCCATCAAGAAGCCAATTGTATTTTTCAACTGAAAATTAATAATCTAATTTAAATCTCAATAAGACCCATTCAAAAAGATAAAGTGCTTTTTAATATGATCATGGAAAGAAGTAGACTATTCAATTAAATATTATTAATAATTAACATATATTAACAGGAATAGAATAAAATAGACTTAACAAGCAAACCAGGTTAAACATGGCATTTTAAAATAAAGAAAATAGTGTAGGTAATGATCTTACAATAACTTAGAGGTACAGATAAGCCAGTTAATAGAAGGTTTTGATTAAGAGAATGTTAAATAACTATACTGACCCCATACACCCTTGAAGAGACTGTAAAACTGAGCTGCAGTCTTTTCAAAACTATTCTTCAGGGTGCCTGGGTGGCTCAGTTGGCTAAGCAACAGCCTTTTGGCTCAGGTCATGATCCCAGAGTCCCGGGATGGAGTCCTGGGATGGAGTCCAGCATCAGGCTCCCTGTTTGGTAGAGAGTCTGCTTCTCCCTCTGACCCTACCCCTCTTGTGCTCTCTCTCTCACTCTCTCTCAAATAAATAAATAAAAATAAAATCTTTTTTTAAAAAAACTTCTTCAAAATTAAAAATTATCTTATTTTAAAACTTGATTTAGCTTTCTCCTTATTCCAACATCTCTTCTCTGTGCTTTTTTGCTTTATTACTCTGTTCCCATTAACATTCACCCTTTGGACTAAACAACAGAATTCAAGTTTCTTGAGTGTGATCTTTGATTCTGCCAAAAGCCATGCCAATGCTGACTTCTGGCTCTTCCTGCTTTTTCATAACAGCCCCAGACAACCAAATACTTGACCAATGTCCAGCAAAAATAAAAATGGTATTCTTTTATGATAAAAGGTATAATACTACATATGTGATATATACCGTATGTCTCATAATGTTTTCTTGCACCTTCTAAGTTATGATGTACTGCCAACTTCAGTGTAGTAAGAGCCCATTGTAACACATGTTCAGGAAGTTGTGTGTCAAGATTTACAGTTGGTGAAGTTCCTGACAGCCAAGAGGGAACTGTTTGGACATTCTAACAAAAATTAAAATGACAATTTATGAAACAAATATCTGTGCAATTGGTCTATACATAGATCCTATACAATATTTTTAAACATTCTTTTCAGATTTCAATGGTCCAAAAAAAAATAACTTGATGCAAAATCATGATTTAAAATTGTATAGTTTGGGGCACCTGGCTGTCTCCGTCGGTACAGCATGCAACTCTTGATCTTGGGGGTTGGGAGTTTGAGGCCCATGTTGGGTGTAGAGATTACTTAAAAATAAAATCTTAAAAAATAATAAAATAAAATAGAATTATATAGTTTGTACTCTAATATAAAAACTTGAGTTAGTTTTCTATCATTCAACAAGTATTTATTGAATCACTATAATGTCTAAGTGATTATACTAGAAAGTAGAAGGAACAAACATGACATGGATCTTGTCCTTAAGAAGCTCACAACTATGTAGAGAGGATGAAATGGACACATAAATACCAATTCCTAACTGTAATAAAAGTTCTAAGAAGGAAAACATCATTTCTAGCCAGGGAACTTTATCAAAGAGAATGTACTTTCTAACTTAAAATAACTTTGAGGATGGAAATAAAACAGAGTTATAACATTTGATGTATATGTCCACTTACAGGTTCAACTCCATTGAAAATTTTGAAACAGACCCATATAAAGAAACCCCATGGATAAGGATGGAAGAATACCTGTAAAGCTTCAGTTATCCGCTCTACCAAACCCAAAACAACATCTTCCAAATCTTGAAAGGTAGGATAAAATTCCATTTTATCATCATCAAATGTCAGTTCCATCTTAAATATTGGCAGCCCACGTTGATCTTCTTGGTCAAAGAGTTTCACAAATCCTTCTACAGTTCTCTTTAAGAAATCCTTTAGCTGCATGATATCATAAATTATTACTTTAGAATGTACAAATTCAACCTTTAACCTTTAGTTCAAAATCAGTGAGCTATTACCTATAATTAAGGCATTCTATCAGTCTGTTTAGTCCTCACAATTTTCTTCATTCAGCACAATATGTTCCTACTAAATTTGGTGTAAAATAATAAATAGAACAATATATGCAAACTTTAATTTTTTTTATAGAATATCAATAATCTTAATATGGCAACTAGAATTTTCCACATTCTTTAGTAATTCTTCCCCTGGTACAGAAAACTAAACAACATGGTGAAGACTAATGGGAGAAAAGGCCGGACACCTAAGGGTTAGGGTGTTATGAGGTGACATGCACATGAGCTGAGGGACAATGGTATAGAGCTATCTCCTAGTGTCAACTGTTAAATAATCAAGGCTTTTAAGACCCAGTTACTAAACCCTGGATGGTTGAAAATCACCAGGGTGGGAATATTTACACCAGGAAATTGGCAAACACTACAAATTAGGGCTTTTCTCCCCCACCCCCAAAGCCGGATTTCCAGCACATCACTAGGTGAGGGTGAAGCCACTGGAACTGAGAAATGTGCACCATAAGTTACCAAAGTATGAATAATGCATTCTTTTTTTTTTAAATAAAAAGATTTTATTTATTTTAGAGATGGTGGGGAGGGGCAAAGGGAGAATCTCAAGCAGACTCCAACACTGAGTGTAAAGCCGGACCCGGGCTCCATCTCACAACCCTGAGATCATGACTTGAGCTGAAACCAAGCATAGGATGCTCAACCGACTGAGCCACCCAGGTGCCCCTGAATGATGCATTCTTATGTAGAAACAGCTATTGGAAATTTAGCCAAGCAGATAAATGCAGATCTAAAACCATCTTCAAAATGTTCCCCATCTCTACTTCTTATCAAATAATCACAGTCCTCCTAAGAGGATAAAGGTAAAAAGGAAATCATGTATATTAATTACAGGGTTATATACTAGATATTACATGTGTCCTTTTAAGGATACATTGAAAAATTTATGGGGGCTGCTTGTGCGCGCGCAAGGCTTGAGCATGAGCCGGACTTGACCGCGAGGCGAAGGCAAAAGCCACCGCCCCCCTCTTCCCCTCCCTTGAGTGAGGCGGTGTGTTGGCCGGAGAGAGATGGAGATGGGGGGCACCCGCCCAGTCTGAGCCTCGGCGCGGATGCCTCTGTCTCACGCAGCGATCCTCGCGGGCCTCTAGTGCGCTCCCTGAGGCCCAGCAGCCTCTACCCGGCGGGCGCACCCGGGCCGGCGAGGAGGGGACGCCCGCCTGGGTGGGTACCTGAAGTCACCTGCTCTGCGCAAGAGGCAGAGGCGGCCACGGCGGTGGCAGAACTACAGAGCTGCGGGGTCCATCCGACCCTTACCCTCAGCCCAGGAAGTAACCAATGCGAACATGTTGCAGAAACATTAAAGAAGTGGCTGAAGGGGGAAGGAAAAAAGTGCCACTGCCTATCAGAAAAAAAGACCAAAAGAAAACATGGCAAATACAACCACCAAGTTCCGTAAAGCACTCATCAATGGTGATTAAAAACCTGGCCTGCCAAATTTATGAAAACAACCCTCAGCTGAAAGAATCCCTTGATCCGAATACATCTTATGGGGAGCCCTACCAGCACAATACTCCATTACACTATGCTGCTAGACATGGGATGAATAGAATACTAGGGACTTTTTTTTTTGGTAGAGATGGAAATCCAAATAAACGGAATGTGTACAATGAAACATCTATGCATTTGTTAGGTATGGGACCTCGAATTATGATATCTGAAGGAGCCCTTCATCCTCGCTTAGCACGGCCCGCAGATGATTTCAGAAGAGCAGATTGTCTGCAGATGATCTTAAGATAGAAAGGAGCAAAACTTGACCAAGGAGAATATGAGAGAGTAGCTATTGATGCTGTTGACAACAACAACAAAACACCCCTGCACTATGCTGCTGCCTCAGGGGGGAAACCCTGTGTCCAGCTTTTAGTAAAACATGGAGGAGACTTGTTTGCTGAGAATGAAAATAAAGACACTCCTTGTGATTGTGCTGAAAAGCAAGACCACTAAGATTTGGCTCTCAATCTGGAATTGCAAATGGCATTCTCACGAGATCCCGAAGCTGAAGAAATAGAAGCTGAATATGCTGCATTAGACAAACGAGAGGCTAAGCTCATGGATCAACTATGAGAGATTGATATTAAAAGGAATTGGAAATAATTCTCTCTTCCCTGAGTGCCTTTCACATCTTCTAAGATTTTAACAATTACTAATATATTTGGGTAAATAAGTACCCATTCTTCATTTTTTAACAATAAGTAGGTTTTACCTATATAATTGGGGAAAGCTGTTTTCATTGTGGAAAGAAATAAAAACAAATTCTTCTGTCATAAAAAAAAGAAAAAGAAAAATTTATGGAATCTTTGGAGATATTGTCCAAAAGGGAAAGTTTTTATTCAAAACCATTTTTATAGAATTGTATTTCTACAATAGCAAAAATTTGAGGAGCCCATAAATATAAAATATAAATTAATATTTTTTTAAAGATGATCAATTCCATTTCAAACCAAGATTTTTTTTAGAAAAAAATGATAATCAACCAACTTGGGATTTCATATGTTCAAAAAGATATTCACTAGGATAGTCCTTTGTTAATATTCTCCAATAAAGCTATGGATAATTAGTTGATAGCCTTTAAGCATGAGCCCAGTAATCACTCATAATATTGACACATACTTCTAGACTTTCTTTTCATTTTAGATTACTTCAGATACTGCTTCAGAAAAGTATTTTTATGCTAAACTAATTTAAATAAAATTATTATAAAAATATTTTTCTTAACTTATTTCAAAATACTTACCTAGCACTATGTCTAAATAGAATTTTATTTAAAATAATAAACTAAAGCATCAGTTTTAAACTCAACACCCCAAAAATGAATAATCCAATTAAGAAATGGGCAGAAGATATAGACATTTCTCCAAAGAAGACATACAGATGACTAACAGACACATGAAAATATGCTCACCATCACTGATCATCAGGGAAATACAAATCAAAACTACAATGAGATATCACCTCACACCTGTCAGAATGGCTAAAATCAACAACATAAGAAACAACAGCTGTTGGGGAGGATGTGGAGAAAGGGGAACCATCTTGCACTGTGGGGAATGCAAACTGGTGCAGCCACTGTGGAAAACAGTATGGAGGTTCCTCAAAAAGTTAAAAATAGAACTACCCTACAATCCAGCAATTGCACTACTAGGCATTTACCCAAAGAATACAAAAATACTAATTTAAAGGGATACATGCACCCTGATGTTTATACCAGCATTGTCTACAATAGTCAAATTATGGAAGCAGCCCAAGTGTCCATAGATAGATAAAAGGATAAAGACGATGTGGTGTGTGTGTATATATATATGTACATATATACACACACACAGAGATGAATATTACTCAGCCATAAAAAAGAATGAAATCTTGCCATTTGCAATGACCTGGATGGAGCTAGAGAGTATAATACTAAGTGAAATAAGTCAGTCAGAGAAACACAGATACCAGATACCATACAATTTCACTCATATGTGGAATTTAAGAAACAAAACAAATGAGCAAAGGGGGAAAAAAGAGAGAGAGAGGCAAACCAAGAAACAGACTCTTAACTATAGAGAACAAACTGATGGTTACCAGAGGGAGGGGGGTGGAGGAATGGGTTAAATAGGTGATCAGGATCAAGGAGTGCACTTGTCCTGGTGAGCACCAGGTGATGTATGGAAGTGTTGAATCACTGTATTGTTCACCTGAAACTAATATTACACTGTATGTTAACTAACTGGAATTTAAATAAAAATTTAAAAAATAATAAAGTAAAATAATAACTACTCTTATTAACATTATTATTTAAGATATATAGAACATATTTACCTGATTTGACATAAGTGTGGAAACACAGTTATAAAATGCATCCAATTTTTCAGGTTTGATGGCTTCTAGAGTTTCCTTCTTGGTAAAAAGATTTATAACCTTTGGATACCATGTGTTCATTATCTTCTCTTCTGCCTTTTTAGCTTGTATTGATAGATCATTTTTCAGTGATTCACAATCAATTGGCCCTTTAGCTCTATTTATGAGAAAAATAAAAATGATTTAAAGCAAATGATAAATACTGGTCTTAATACACAATTCTTTTTAAAAATAAGATAAATTAAAAAAATTTTAATCTGAAGAAAAGTTCTCAAGACTTATCAATTTTAAAATGTATACAGTCAAAATATAAAGACTCAAGCAAGCGACATTCAAATCTTAAATGTTAGAATAAATATGAGATTTTACCTAATCCCTGTTAAATCTAGCAAAACTGAATTGGAAAACGTCGTATAACCAAGATCCAGCAATATTTTCATAGTTGGATGAACAATGTGCAAATTAGCTGATATTTGATTTCTGGTTTGCACATAGCTAGAATGCCAAGGATTAGAATAATCCAGTCCTCTGGAAAAGCAAAACACCAAATCAAACAGGATTCAAACAATATGCTCTAAATTTTAGGAAATAATAGTTATGACATGGAATTAGCATAAACCAAGAGAAGAGGAAAATATGGTCAGCAATGGAAGCTTTAGGAGACATGCATGTAATAAAAATGCATCAAGATCTTGAAAGTGCATTATCTTCAGAGAGGACAGAGACCACTTGTGGGTAAGGCAGACTGACGGGCCAGGTGGGAGTGCCCTGCTAACTTCCACTGTGCTCTGGGTCAGTTACCTTGGGTAGAGATAAAGGAACTCAGTCCTTGGAACTGGGGAGAAAGGATGAAGAAATCTGTCTGGCATACACCAAAGCTTACTTAAGGCCACGTTGACCTATATATCCGTAAGGGTTCCCCTAATTGTGTAAGCAGCAAATAGACAAGTTCAGAGCAAGGACACCTTCAGGGAAAAAAAAACCAGTAGTGCTATTTTTTAGATGTATTCAAAATACCTTTGAGCCTCACAATTCCAGACTTAAATGTAAGATCAGCTTATTTTCAATCTGTTATCAAAACCTAGATGCAATTCTGTTTTTAAAATAACTTACTGGATGTCTCAGTTGGTTGAGCCTCCGACTCTTGATTTAGACTGGGGTCATGATCTCAGGATTGTGGGAACAGCCCTGCTGCTGGGCCTCGTACTGGGTGGGGAGTCCCCTTGGGATTCTCTCTCTCTCTCTCCCTCTGCCCCTCCCCCTGCTCATGCCCTCTCTCTCTCTCAAATAAATAAATAAATCTTTAAATAATAATTTACTCACTCAGGGGATGTAGGTAAAGGGCCTCCTTCATCTTCAAGCCATTTAACTGGAGGTTTCACGAGAACACTCCTCACTAAAAAATATATATGCATTAATATTTCTTGAAAACCCTTGCAAATCCTACTCAAACAAAAGTTTCTAACTTTTGATATTGGAAAACATAGTTTATTGAGCATTAAAGTGAGAAGAAAAAAATCCCTTTATTTGAAAAAAAAAGCAAGTTCTTGGTACTATTTGGTGTTACTTTGGGTGTGAATTCAGATACAATAAAGCTTTAAGTTTTTAGGTTTTTTTTTGCATTCTATCTATTCAAAGGCCACTTAAAAACTTATTCCAATAAAAACTGCAAATGTTAAATCCCTAATAAACCTCCCTAAATACAGTAATATTTTTTATAATTCTGTAAACAGTTTAACTACAGGCATAAAGACAAAGAGAAAAATCAAAAAGCTATTAGCTAATAAGCACATAAAAATTACACAAAGTTCCCTCAAATTACAAGATTTTGACTGGATAATAAGCTCAAAATAAAAACTTTTTTAAAAGTAGATTTTGAGAAGAGCAAGATGGAGGAGGAGTAGGAGACCTAAATTTCGTCTGGTCCCAGGAATTCAGCTAGACAGTTATCAAACCATTCAGAACACCTACACACTCAACAGGAGAGTGAAGAAAAGAATAGCAGCAATTCTATGAACAGAAACGTGACCACCTTCTGGAAGGTAGGACATGCAGAGAAGTGAATCCAAGGCAATATTCGGGAAGATACCCTGCAAGTACCGGCAGCAGAGCACAAAATTGGAACTTTTAGAAGTCTGCTCTGCTGAGGGACGTCACTCCAGTGGACCTTGCTCCAGTGGAACCCTCGCTGGGACAGTGTGGTCTCAGGACCCTCGGGGTCACAGAAAGACCGGGGGTGCCTGAGTGCGGCAGAGCTCCCAGGTATTGGAGCACGGAAGCCGGCTGCAGAGACAGAGCCAAGGAGTGGGCTTTCAGCTCGGGGTTGCCATAAACCGTGATCCGCGGCACAGTCAGGCCACTGCTCCTCCAGCAGGGACCCAACAAGCGGCAGATCCGGGGAGACTCCCGTTCCTCCCCCGGGAGGAGCAGCGCGGGAGCACACCGCAGGGATCTGCTGAGTTTGGAGACTCCACACTGGGTCATGTGCCAGAGATAGAAACATTGGATCACAGGCCGAGTGAGCACGGAGTGCTGCCAGAGACTGGGGAGATGGGAGTGATTGCTTTTCTCTGGGGGCTCAATGAGCAGTGGGGCCCCGAGTTCTCAGCTCCTCCAGGGAGGAGATTGGGAGGCCACCATCTTCACTCTCGGCCTCCAAAGCTACACGGAAAGCTTGCAGGGAACAAAAGCTCCCGAGAGCAAACCCCAGCAGATTTCTTAGCCCAGACCCGGCAAGGGCGGGGCAATTCCGCCTCCGGCAAAGACATTTGGGAACCATGGCAACAGGCCCCTCCCCCAGAAGATCAGCAAGAACAGCCAGCCAAGGCCGAGTTTACCGATCAATGAGAACGGCAGAACTCCAGCACTAGGGGAATACTGCACATAGAATTCATGGCTTTTTTCCTATGATCCTTTAGTCTTTCAAAGTTAATTTTACTTTTTTTTTCTGTTCTTTTCATTGAATTTTTCTTCTTTCCTTTTTCAACCAACATCTTATCAATTCCTTTTTTAAAATCTTTTTTAATTTTCATTTTTACACTCATATTCTATCCCTTCATTGTATTTAACCTTATTTTTTGTATATATATGTTTTCCTTTCTTTAAAATTTCGGGATACAGTTTCTTCTAACAGACCAAAATATACCCTAAATCTAGCATATGATTTTGTCCTAGTCTCCCGCCTGATCACATTCCCTCCTTTTTTCTTTAATTTTTTCGTTCTTTTTTCAACCAATTTATCAATTCCTTTTATAAAATCTTTTTTAATTTTCATCTTTACAGTCATATTCCATCCCTTCATCGTATTTACCCTTATTTTTGTATATATATATTTTTTTCTTTCTTTAAAATGTTGGGAGGCAATTTCTTCTAACAGACCAAAATACACCCTAAATCTAGTGTGTGGCTCTGTTCTATTCACCAGCCTGATCATATTCTTTTTTTTTTTTTCCCCTTTCTTTTCCTCCCAGTTTCGGGTCTCTTCTGATTTGTTTAGTGTATATTTTTCTGGGGTTGTAGTTACTCTTTTAGCATTTTGTTCTCTCATTCATCTATTCTTCTCTGAACAAAATGACAAGATGGAAAAACTCACCTCAAAAAAAAAGAACAAGACAAAGTACCGACTACCAGGGACCTAATCAGTACAGACATTAGTAAGACATCGGAACTAGAGTTCAGAATGACGACTATAAAGATACTAGCTGGGCTTGAAAAAAGCATAGAAGATACTAGAGAATCCCTTTCTGGAGAAATAAAAGAACTAAAGTCTAACCAAGTCAAAATCAAAAAGGCTATTAATGAGGTGCAATCAAAAATGGAGGCTCTACATGC